TGACTTTGACAGTTCTGACCTTTTCAAAGCATCGGAGTCTGACTGCAGAGGACTGACGTGTCGCTGTTCTGCTCCCTGCTGGACGAACAGAACCGCCTGCAGTCACTCGTGAAGCTGCGGCAAATGTGCACCATACACATCTAAGCGTACATACACGTGTATATACACATGTATACACATGCACATACACATGTGTATGGTGCACATTTGTCTTTTTTTGATTACTGATGCCTCAAATTCCCCCCGGGGATTAACAAACTAACTGACTAAAACTAAGTTCAGCTTTATTCGAGTTTATTTTGGTCATTTCTTTATGTCATCCATGTTTTAATGTAAAACAGTTTTAAAGTAGATTTTGCATTTTTTTTATCAAATTATTGCGTTTGTTGTCACCGTCATGGTTTTGAATCACTTCCTGTGTGGCTGCGATGAGGTCTGCTGGTCTGAGGCCTCAGCAGACCTGAACAGATCAGAGCGTTTGTTTGTCGGGTGGAAAACGACCTCGTTGTCGTGTCGTTGCGGCCGCAGCTTCACGAGTGACTGCAGGCGGTTCTGTTCGTCCAGGGTTTACCACGGGTAGAGTTACAAAACAAATAAGTACATCCTCCACGTTCGACCATCGAGACACGGGAGTGTTAGACTGAAAGCAAGGCTACGGGTTCTGAAGGGTCCGGTGGTCCGGAGGGTCTTCAAAAAACAACAGATTGGGGAAAAATAAAATGTAATTGTCAAATAATTTTGAGTCAACTAATGGGAACAAAATGACTTTATTACAAAAATAGACGTAAACTATTTTGTTGATTTCAATCAAAAATTAAATATGGAGGTTTTTTTTAAACAAAAGCCCCTTGTAGAGTTAAAATTAATTTAAATTTGATATTATAGAAAACTGTTTTTTTAAATAGTTAAATAAGGTGATGGATTTTTCTCCTACGGAACATGAATGGTTAAAGTTAAAGGGACTTCCAGGGATTAATGAGAGTTTGACTGTTAGCAAAACATCTCACGAACCAGTGGACAGGTTTTAAGGTTCATGAGATATTTTGCTAACAGTCAGAGTGTGGCCGCAGATAATGAAGAATCTGTTTTGTGTTTTTGTCCCGTTCTTCTCCAGTTGGTTTCCGGGTCCAGTCACTCCACGAGCCACGCCGGCGGCAGCTCCGCCCCTTCAGATGACCTCCCCCCCACGGCGGGGGGTATCAGGGGCTTCCCGGTGTTCGGAGGCGGGTACCCCAGCTCCCTGTCCCACCTGGAGGATGGCGGCTTCGAGCAGGACGAGGGAACGGAAGTGGTCACCTGCATGTGACCTGGTCCACCTGACCCCCCCCCCTCACACACACACACACACGTTGGCACTTTCTAAACCAAGATGGAGGACTCACGATCCGTTAAAAGAAAGAGCTGCTTTTATACAGTTCAGAGGAGTTTCCCCTCAAAGTGTTTTAATTCATTTTTTTAAGTATTTTTTAATCATCAGGATCAAAACAAGTCTGTAAACCAGCAGCTGTTTTGTTTGTGCAGATGTTTGCAGATGATCTCGGCGTTTGTGTTCTCCCTCGTTATTTCTTTGTACAGCCTCAATTTAAATAAAGCTCGGATGTGAAAAACGTCATTTCACTTCAGTTTGTTTCTGTAGCTCCAAGTCACAACAGAAGGCGACTCAGGACTGAACAGAAATATTCATAATGTAACGTTACTTATGAGCAGCAGCTCGGAGTTTAACTCCATCACAGAACTCTCATCTTGAACAAGCAGGAAGTATCAAACCGCCCCCTCTCCTTCAACACGGAGAACAAAAACCGCTGCCGACTGAAAATCCACACATTAGTCCTGACCTGGAGAACACGGTCCGACCTTCTGGGCTCCCGTCTGCCCTCATACGAGTAATAGTAACAAAAAACACATAAAAACAACAAAATATGTAAATATCAAACACGTACCTAAAAATACATTAAAAAAAGAAAAACACTTCTATATTAGGGTTCAGAGCCAACGCTGAGCACGGCCCCCTGTAAGACCAGTCCACTGCTGAACACACCTGTTGGTGGGCGGTTCCTGATGATCTGAAGTGTATTCAGAGTTGTTTAGGGCCCAGAAGGCATATAGATATACAACATATATAATAGATATACAACATATATAATAGATATACAATAGATGTACAACATATATAATAGATATACAACATATATAATGGATATATAGATATACAACATATATAATAGATATATAATGGATATACAACATATATAATAGATATACAACATATATAATGGATATATAGATATACAACATATATAATAGATATACAACATATATAATAGATATATAATGGATATACAACATATACAATAGATATACAACATATATAATAGATATATAATGGATATACAACATATATAATAGATATACAACATATATAATAGATATATAAGGTATTTAGATTTTGAACGCACACACCATTCAGACATCATTAATAATGTTGGAGATAAATTTATGTAAAGATACTAAAGAAAGCGAGTCTGGGACTTTGTCAACGACGAGTCAAACCCTTTAACGGCTGCACCAGTGATTCACTCCACACCTTCCAGTTCAAATAAAATGTTGTACACACCACCATTAAAGGACCGACAGCCAAATATTGAGTCAAACACCAGTTTAAGAGAACGTTGGCTGATGGTCGACCCTGCGGTTCATTTCGATCCCGTCTGTTGCTGGAACGTATTCCATCAGAGTTGACAAACACCTCGTCCGTCCCTCCATGTGTGATGTGAAGCCATGCAGGAAAAACAAGTCCATACCTGGTCGGTTCTGCAGGAGTCGCCTCACCTCCGTGAACACCGCTCGTGCCCCCGCCACACCCGGGGTCTAATCAGCTCAATATGGACGATACTTTTTGAAGTGGATTGGGCCACCGCTGCGTGCTCGTTGTAATATCTTGGCAACAGTCTTGGTAATAATCCACGATAACTTGTGATTTATCAGCCGAACCTTTCCTGCCACGTGGTCGATCAGCGGCGACTTCAGCATCCGATAGCATCTTGGCCATCACTGCAGGAGTGCACGAGCCTGGTGAGTCAGGAGCTCCAATAATCCTGATATTGTTACGTTTCATATTCCCGTCCACGGACTCGAGCCTTCTTAGCCCATCCACCTCATCCTTCAATTCCACCACGGTCCCACGCAGAGCCCCCACCTCCTGAGCATAGACAGGCCGTTCTCTGCCTCTGTAACACTCAGCACGACCTGGTCACGTTCAGTTCACATTAACAGATCGGCGATGAAACATTTCAGCAGCTTTCAGCTGAAATGTTTCAGCAGCAGTATTCACAGCAAATTACATTTCTTTGGCTTTTCCTTCTTCAGGGTTCTGCACAGCGAGTCCTCCGCCATCTCTGTCCTCACTCCAACTGCATCCATGTCCTCCAACTGCATCCACAGCTCCTCTTTGGCCTTCGTGAAGTCCTGATGTGTAAAACCCCAGCTCTGAAAGGCGGAGCCTCTTTTTCACACCGCAGTCAGCAGGTGTCAAACAGAGCTCTGGTCTGGCTGGAGCCGACCTGAGGAGAACCGGTTCCTCAGAGAACCGGAGCCTTCCAGGGTTGACTTTGTTCTTCCTGTTCAAGCAGACCCAGCTGATTAGGTTAAACAGAACGTTTCAATATTTAACAAAACATTTTCGTTCATTTTATAATGTGCAGAGCGTGCACCCTAAACCTCAGAGCAGTCTACAGATGGTCCTGGAAAATATAAAAATAGAAGTTGTTCAGATTTTTCTCGACGGAGAACACAAAACGTCCACGCAGGAACAACTGAATAATAGGTCTTTTATTAACAGACATCATGAAAATGTCAACAGTAACAAAATTTTTAGTCCATTAAAAAACAGTGGGTTGAACTGACGAGACTCCCGCACCGTAACTGAACGAGGGGCGGGGCTTAAAGGAGGCAGGAAGTGGGCCGCGCTCTGATCCGTCCTCCTCCAACCAACTTTAAAGCAGATCGTCCCCGTCGCAAACGCTGGACATGTGTTGGACAGGACTGAGGTGGGGACAGGTCTTACGGTGGGGGGGTCAGAGTCCGCCCCCCCGACTCAGAGCTGGAGGTTCACCAACAGACGAACTTGAAGTTCAACAGCAGCTTAGCTCACCGCTCCACCCCGACCCAGGTGGGTCACCAACACAAAAGAAGCAGACAGAACATGTGACAGCGAGTTCGGGGGGGGGGGGGGGGGGGTATATACACGAGGAGATTATTATTAATGGGATTCACCTTGACTATAGAGCTGCTGAAGACCCGGAGTGTCCACAAGGAGCAGCACCCCCACACAGACCGGACTTCAGCGTCCTCACGCCCAACGAGTTTCAATTAAAGTTCCCCACGAAGTCCGAGGCAGCCGCTCCGCCTTCAGGCTGCGAGGGGACCGGGACCGAGACCGGGGCGGGGGCAGAGCTCGGCCATTTCTACATTCGTGTTTTGAAAGAGATCGCTCCCCTCGGCTGCTCGGACAGAGACGAGACTAAAATCTAATTCACGTCTTTATGAGCAGAACTGGATGATCCAGAGACCGGCTCGGACTTCAGCTCGCCTTCAGAGGACGACGGCTGCACATCGACTCCACGAGCTCAGTCGGGTTTAGAAGACGGATTCATGTTTCATGTCAGAGCACTTGAGCTCCTGATCCGAGCCTGTGGGTGAAACCAGGCTCATAATCCCACAAACATTCTCAGATTATTTTCATTATTTGGGGGATTTTTAACACTGAAGCATAAACTTTTCCTGCCATTAACTGTAAAGTTTACATGTTAACTGTAAAGTTTTCAAGCTAACTGTAAAGTTTACAAGTTAACTGTAAAGTTTACAAGCTAACTGTAAAGTTTACAAGCTAACTGTAAAGTTTACACGTTAACTGTAAAGTTTACACGTTAACTGT